TTCTTAGTCATCTAGGTCATAGTCATTCCATAAAAGTTCCAAAAAATCCACTGGACTTGGTTTCCAAGATTTGAAGACGTTTCACTACCTCTCCAGGAAGCTTTCTCAATTCAAATGTCTGGATCCGCAGTGAGTTTGAGTCTTATATAGACAAAGCCTTGTATTGCTTGGAAACATGCAAATGGTAACCAATGAATGGGTCGTTTGGTTCCATTGTTAGCCTGTAATATCTGAAACCTGTCTATGAGTCTGAAGGTCTGTCGTTAAAGGAAGGGATTGTCCTTAAGGGGGGGGATTGTTTCCTGTAATACCTGAAACCTGTCTATGATTGTTAAGGGTCGGTCGTTAAGGAGGTATTGTTCACCGGCTGGAGCAGGTAGGTGCTTTGTTCCTCTGTGATGGGGTGGGGTGATATCTGGAAGGGATAATCTCCCCCCTTTAACGACAACCTTCAAAATCATAGACAGGTTTCAGATATTACAGGCTAACAATGGAACCAAACGACCCACTCATTGGTTACCATTTGCATGTTTCCAAGCAATACAAGACCTTGTCTATATAAGACTCAAACTCACTGCGGACCCAGACATTTGAATTCAGAAAGCTTCCTGGAGAGCATTTGTTATTAGCTTCACTGAATATATATTCCAGATGTCTCAAATGAATTTCCTTTTAGTCAACATGAGCATTTCAGATATCTAAAATATCAGTCATCCTATCTAAACTATAGATTCCAGATATCTGAAATGTAATTCTTACTATTACAAACGATGTCACATTTCCCATTCATGTGTATTGGGCTTTTTTCCCACATATCTAAAATAACATTCTTCCTATCTAAAGTAAACATTCTTCCTATCTAAAATGAATTCTGACGAGGATGAATTCTAATTTCAGATCTCCATAATAGAGTTACTGCTGGTCAAAATTATTATTTCAGGTATCAAAAATGAATATAACATTACAGATATCTAGAAATACAATTCTTGACATCTAAAATATATTTCTGCTAGTAATTCTGCTAGTAAGGCAAGGCAAATTTATTTGTATAGCACAATTCAGTACAAAGACAATGCAAAGTGCTTTACATGATTAAAATACAGGAAAATAAAACCGAATCAAAGCAAGTAGGAAAAAATATAAATAAAAGAAATTAAAAAAATGCAGAAACAAGAAAGAACATTAAAAACAGTTGGACTAAAGAAAATAAAAAAGTTGGGCTTTTTGTAACCCTTCACCTAAAATCCAGTATAGTTAATGTTAATGTCTTTAAGTGCCTTAAGTAAAAGCTGTACAATTCATCCGCAAACATTAGAGTAAAAGTAGTAAAATATTTCTATGTTTTCCTACTTTTAGGTTCATCGGGCTATATTTGGATTTTATTTGAATCCCTGCTCTTTTTTAGGTACTTTTTGCAACCGCGAGAAAATGGAGGGAAGTCTGTTAAGGTGGAGGACCTGGGCTCTCTGCGTCTGAACATCGTTTACACCGAGGACCATGTCTTCCCCTCCGAACACTACAGCCCCCTCAGAGATCTGCTGCTGCAATCTTCTAACGTGGAGGTATGTAAACACCGTTGCCTCGGCAGTCTCTGCTCCGTGTTTCTGTACTTTAACGCCACTGTCTCATCTTTTGAAACCTGTTTCACTCTGTCCAGCCTGTGTCAGCGTCCACTGCGCATATTTTGGGGGAGGTGTGTCGAGAGAAGCAGGAAGCTGCCATCCCGCTCGTTCGTCTTTTTCTTCATTATGGCAAAATAGTGCCTTTCATCAGCGCAATTGCTCATGCAGAAATCAACCGCACACAGTGAGTTATATTAACACAAGCGTGAGTTCGACACCAATATCCTCTTTCCTTTATGGAGAAATTGTTTATTTAGGATTGTAATGCATTTGGATGATATTATAGATTTAAGTGATTTTTCCCTTTTTTTTTTTTTTTTACAAATAGGGATCCAAACACAATTTTTCGTGGAAACTCGTTGACGTCTAAGTGTATCGATGAGACCATGAAGCTTGCTGGGATGCACTATCTGCAGGTTACGCTTAAACCCATCATAGACGAGGTATTAAAGGGCAGCAAACCCAACCATAAATGATTTCCTTCCCTTCCTCAGGAGATTACAAAGTATTCATGCCCTTTGAGCATTTTCACATTTTGTTCCAGGTAAAAGACAAACTTTTACCCTATTTGACCTTTTCTAATAGGCACATGAAAAAAAAAATCAAAGATAGTTTACTGTGATAACACTAAATAAAACCCAGGAAGGCCGGTTGTCTACAGTAGCCCCCTTTTGAGTCCACCTGTGAAGGTAAATTCTGCTCTGTGAAGGTTTGTTGGAGAACAATAGTGATAAAGCAGCATCACAGAGACCAAGGAACACAGCAGACAAGCCTCTGAATAGATCATGAAGTTTTACCACCTATTATATATATATAATTGGAAGACATGATTTAACTGCAAATCTACCAAGACAGGAAAACAAAACATAAAACAGATAATCACAGAGGAGATTGCAGACATCCACGGCTCAGGTGGGAGAATCTCGCCATCATGAAAGAGAGCAGGTTAGAAGCCAGTAAAGAAACAGTTTTTTAGCCACATGGAAGGAGTTGGTCTGGTTTTGGTCAAAAAAAATCTTTTCAGCTTGGAACATGGTGGTGGTAGCATTAGCACAGACAGGAGAGCCAGCAGATGAGAAGGTGGAGAAAAAAACTAAATGTTTGAAGAAAACCTGCTGAAGGATCCAAAGAACTTTAGATTAAAAATTACAGCCAAGCCTTGAGGACCAAGGTTGGGACTCAAGGGCCCCTATACATCATTTTCAAGATGTTACAACAGTGGGGTTTGGCATTTATATGCAGAACTTCATAACATGCTCAGGATGTTTCATTTAGCTGAGTTGGAGCACATTCAAGACTACAGATCATTAGGGCTGATTGAAAATGTATTCATTTGTTAGAATGGCTTCATAAAAATCTAGACCTAAATGAAGGATCTAGAGTAAGACTACTTTCTGTCCAGAGGGAGAGCTGTTGTACCTCAGCGATTGAATAATTGTTCCCCTGCATCACAGTTCTGTTCTACTTTGGGTTGATCTACCATTCTAAATGTTCGCATTATAGAAACATAGTTCAAGGGGCATGAATATTTATGCATTTAAATTTATCAGATCTCCAACCTTCTTTTTTCTTTCTCTGGGAGTTTAATTCCAGTCGTAGTTTTATACTGACGCCCTGCTTTGTATTTCCACAGATCTGCACAGAACACAAATCCTGTGAAATCGACCCCGTTAAGCTCAAAGAGTCGGAGAACTTGGAGACAAACCGGGTAGGAACCAGAGCTAGTTCAGTTTGTCAGCATTCACTTCATCCCTGTCTGATTCAACCACTGTGACCCGCCTCCCCTCCTCAGGAAAACCTTCTGCAGTACGTGGACCGCATCTTCAACGTCATCACCACCTCCGGCGTCCGCTGTCCTACCGTCATGTGCGACATCTTCTTCTCTCTGAGGGAGTCGGCTGCGACTCGGTTTCAAGGTAAACTCTCTTCCAGAGCGACTTCCGAGATGTGCAAGAAAACTGGGAATAAGCCACAGGAAGTGGAGGGTAGTAAATAACAGGAAGTGTAAGATGGCCAAGGACACTAAGTCTACTTCACAAGAAGGAGTTTAATGTTTGCTCTCTGTCCCAAAACTGCTGAGGTGTTTCACACCAGCAATGGGATTATTTCATTAGCCTCTGTTGCCCCCTGTTGGGCATGTTGGGACACTACATTCAGTTGCTTTAGTATGCAACTGTAGCTTGTTTGTGCTTCGGAAATACTTTTAAGGTTAAGAAATGAAGAGACAAAAACATGTTTCATGTTTGTTTTTTCATAAACAAAACCTGCAAATTCAAATGTTTCCTCTGTAACCAGCCGACTCCATATTCACTAGAAACACTATCTGTTTTCAGTAAACAAAGCATAACCCGGTTCACAGCTTGTTCCTTCCCTTGCTGAAAAAGAAAAAAAAAAGTGTGTAAGACACGTTATTTCCTCTTTTATCCAGTTGATCAAGATGTCCGATACACAGCAGTAAGCAGCTTCATCTTCCTGCGTTTCTTCGCGCCTGCCATCCTCTCACCAAACCTGTTTCACCTACGGCCCCATCACCCTGTAAGTTGGATATTTACTGCTAACACACGCTCTGTTTATAGTCACATATACGACTATAACAACAGCTGCTTAAGGGGCTTGGTTAAAAAAACAAAACAATCGGACTTATTTTTTCTGTGATGCAGAATCAGGTGTCTGTTAAAGTGAAATATTTGGATCGGTTGGATGAATAATAAATCATATGCTTCTGTGTCTGTAGGATCCCGCCACTTCCAGAACGCTCACCCTCATCTCCAAGACCATACAGACTCTTGGAAGTCTTGCCAAATCTAAATCAGTGAGCCACTCTTCTCTGAAAGCATCCAACCGCCTCTCTTTAACGTCTTATTTTAGATTGTTTAAGACTCTTCCTGTCCATCCCCCCTTTTTTCTTTCCAAGGCTAATTTCAAAGAGTCCTACATGGCTGCATTTTACGACTTCTTCAACGAGCAGAAATATGCAGATGCTGTGAAGAATGTAAGTGTTCACCTTATTTTACGTTGGATGAGTAAGCATAGAAGAAGGTTTAATGGGTAGCGATTTGCATTTTATAAGTTTGTTTTAGCACTTTGATTTAGGTCTGGAGCTGTATGAAGTATAGAAAAAAAAAATCCAAGCAAAGCTTTGTCATTGTGCTTTAGGGGATTACTGACAAAGACGTGAGAAATCCATAAATTTCAGTGAAAATGTAAAAGTGTGACATGAACATGGTGTAAGGAATGCTGGGAATGTGTGGATACACTTTGACCTCCTGCGTCCCTCACTTTGCCTTTACAGTTTCTTGACCTGATCTCCACCTCTGGCAAATGGGATCAGAGGAGCATAGAAACACCGATCATGCTTAAGGAGGGGTAAGGAGATGCCTTCATGTTATTTGTAACTTAAAGAAAGAGGGGATTAAAAAGGTGGATGGATATAACCAGCTCAGAATATAATGTCAGATCCAAAGACGAGAGGGGAGAGAGGAAATGGAATATGGCTATGACTTCTAGAAGTAAACCCTTAATCAAGGCTAAGAAAAAAATGACTTAATATGTGGATTTAATAAAATTTTTAACAGCTTGCATCTTCAGTTTTATTGGAAAAACCAGAAGGTACAGAGATTTTAGCTCTGATGATCCCCAGTATTGGTTAATTTTAAAATCTGAGGCGGGAAACCAGTTATTTTCCATCGACACCTCAGTCGTTGATCGGTAATCCCTAAAAAGGTCAGAACCACATTCATCAGAAACCCCACCCTCTTGTTTTTCTGCTCCCGTCATAGGAGTGTAAAAGTCACTATAAAGAGGGTTGATGGGAAGGGGTCTAAAGCCCCAAAAGGCAGGTAAGAGCTTCTGCGTATACAAGCTTAGGCTTAGCCTTTGTGACCCCTCCCCCGCCTCTTGTATTTGCGCTGTGACTTTCCTCCAAAAGATTTTGTGTCCCACCATCCCCGTGTGCAAATTGTTAAGTTTATCCCTCTCTCTATACAAGCAACCATTAAAATCACTTTTTTCTATGATAGTGTCTTTATTCAGGTTGTTAGCCGTTAGGCTGCTCACCGTAGAAAAAGGTGCAGTTGGCTCCGCCCCGCCCCTCTTGTTCCTCCTGACACGCTTGGCAGGATGGAGACAGCGGGGCTCGTTTCCTCGCAAACATCATCCTGATCTCATATCTGCCCACATCTGAATCCAGAGCATGACAGGAGGAGTCCCATCTGAACCAGGATCAGCTAGAGAGCTGGAGATTTTAGAATCCTGCAGCTAGTGTTCTTAGTTTGAGATATGCATTCATCCTGCTGTGAACTCTCCTTTATGCTACCATGTCAGTGGTTTTGCATGTTTTCATAACAGCCAGCTCACTATTAAACTTAAATTGCTTCTCGATAAATAATTAAAGCTCTTCCAATAAGGGTTCAAATGATCCCAGTAAGCAAAATTGTTCCCTCCTAAAACAAACTAAGCAAGTGTAAAAAAAAATTATGTGCTATTTCCTATATTTCCATAAGCCTTTATCTATTCAAAGGGCTGCATTACAATATATTTTTTCATAAACAGATATTCATATTGTGACAAATAACAACTTTAGGTTTACTTTAAGATATTTGATGTCTTAAATTGATCAAAGCAGATTTTTAAAGACCAAAACACACTAAATAATTCCTCTAAAATATATTTCAATTTCAACACTAAAGGTATTGTGGAGGATTTTTTAAAAGACTCGCCCTCTCCACTTAAAAAATGCCCGTGCAAGAGCGTGCACGAGCCCATCTCTCCTCATGCACGCCCTGTTTAAAATGTGCTGTTCTCAAAGCTCATACAAACTGACTGTGCCCAACTGCCTGCCCTAAATCCCTCAATCACTATATAGAGTGGGGACTATATAATGGACTTTATTGTGAATTCAGTTAGCTGACCGTTCAGACGGATGATTACTACTTTTTGCACCGTTGGTCACGTAACATCCACTGTGCGTTGCCTGCACCATCTTTGTTATTAGTCATTGCTGTTGGGTAGCGATGGTGGGCCGCTGTGACAGCAAATCCCATATCACAATGGAGAGCTCTCTACACAAAGCATTCTGGGATATATCTGCCTCTTCTGAGGCCTTTCTTTTCTTCTCATACACTTTGTAGACTCTTTCTCTCCTATGACCCTTAGCCATTTTCAAAGAACCGCGGTGAGAAAGTCGAGCTTCAATGCGCAGAAAAAGATAGCTAACTGGGAACGAGCACGTAGGACGGCTTTAAATAAACATATCACCAGGATGATTGACAATTAGGTGGACCACTTATTTAGATTATCCACCGGGAAATAAAAGATTGTCCTTTTACCTTATACCTTTAAATGTTAAAAGTGAAAGAAAGCCAAACGTTGCAGGTCTCTTCCAATTTTCCCATTTGTACCTCAGATAATAGTGCATCTCTGGAAAAGTACATTTCAACTGAAATACTTGTCAAGTAAAACAGAACTCAGTCACTGTTTTGGAGGCTAAATGATACTTTAGATACTCTTTTATGGTAATTGTATAATTTCATATTTTTCTATTAATTTGGGGTTAAAATATGGAAAACCACTGATAGATTTTGTTCCCATCTCCTTTGTTGGACTTATAGATGATTTCAGTTTGTATATGGGAAGAAAAAGGCAGAGTGCTCGCAACATAGGAGTCTCTCAAATATAGATCATGAGTTTTCCCAAACTTTTTACATTAAACCTCTTATTTAGAATCCTTTAGCCTTTAGATAAACCAGTCGAAGCTCCACCTACAAAACCTTTTTGTACATTTTGTTCTAGACAAAGTTCCATTCATCACCCAAGATTCACTTTGGTGTTTTGTTTTGGGTTTTTTTTTTCCTCTCCATTTTTTTTCTGCAGATTTATGATAAAGAGAGCTCAGGGCAGAAACCGGTTTGGAATGAAGAACTTCAAGAAAAGATGGTTCCGTCTGACCAACCATGAGTTCACCTATCACAAAACAAAAGGTGCGGTCAGTGAGTTCCCCTGCAAAGATCTCAAATCGTCTCGTCATCTGTTTATGCCCAAGTGTGCCTTTGTGTTTGACTCAGCAGAAAAGGGGGGAGGGAGTGTGCAGAGCATGCACACTTATCGCACAGCACCTAGAGGGCAATTTAGGTTACTCAGCAGGCCATTTGTTTGTACACCCTGACAACCGAATGAAACATCAGCTTATCTGAAACCGTACATTCAAAGTGAGGTTTTCACCCTAACAATAGCACGTTACACATAAATCTAAAAACCAGGAAAGCTAACGTAAAATGTGATGACCTAATAATCATCTCTGATTGTTGCTGTTTTTCTCATAAAGTCTTACATTTATTCATAATATCCCTCTTTGATTATCTTATTAGAATCATTTGAATTCCTCATAAACGTGAGGCTGAAACATTTGCTAGATTCTGCTGAGCATTTCCTGTCTGATTGTGTTAACTGTTACCTCCAGGAGAGGGCGCTCTATGCAGCATTCCAATAGAGAACATCTTGGCTGTGGAGAGGCTAGAAGAGGAATCTTTCAAAATGAAAAATGTGAGAGATGCACCTATTAGGAAAAAATGGCCCCACACATATGTATATATTTAGTGTTTAAATGTTCTTGCTATTTTTACCCCTTTCCTCCAGATGTTCCAGGTTATCCAACCTGAGCGAGCGCTCTACATCCAGGCCAACAACTGTGTGGAGGCCCGAGACTGGATAGACATCCTGACCAAAGTCAGCCAGTGCAACCGCAAACGCCTGAGCACCTACCATCCTTCAGCCTACCTCAACGGACACTGGCTCTGCTGCAAGCTGTCTGCAGACACAGCCCCGGGATGCACGCCCTGCACCGGGTACACAGAGCGTTCAGAACATCCAGAAACAGGTTCGTCCCATTTTTATTTCCATCTCTCCCTCTCAACGTATTTATGTGTTCACCCAATCCCAGCGGCCTACCAGCGAACATCCAGCTTGACGTGGATGGAGACAGAGAGACAGAGAGGATTTATTCCCTCTTCAGCACATACATGACCAAACTGATCAAAATGCAAGGTCAGGCCCTCACACCCCCCTCCCTGTTTTCTACATCCGCGTTTGTAACATTACTGTTTTTCTTACCTTGGTTCTCCTTGTGTTTGTGAACCTCCCGTGCAGAGGCCTGCGGCAGTAAGTCCGTGTACGACGGACCCGAACAGGAGGAGTATTCTACCTTTGTCATAGACGACCCCCAGGAGACGTACAAAACCCTGAAGCAGATCATTTCAGCTGTGCAGACGCTGGAGCAGCAGCACACCAAGTACAAACGGGACAAGTTCAAGAAGACCAAGATAGGCAGCCAGTATGTGCTTTGGATCATTTATTCTGTTAACATAAGCTTCATTGTGTCCCTTTAAATACATTGGCTTCACTCGTAAAAGCTGCATAAATCCTCTTAAAATACATTGATCATCTAGCTGTAATATGGCAGGGAGAAAACTGGAATATATATAGAGAGAAATATGTTATTAGTTCATTTATTTAAGAAAAGATAACATTTTAATATCTACTTTTTTTAATGAATGTAACTAAAGCATTTTTTATTTATATCTTGGTATTTAAAGTTGATCACTGTCTCTGGGATTTTTTTAATTTAAAGTCCATGACTTCCTCTGGCTAATGGGATAAAAATAGAAAAGCCCTTCACATGAAAAACAAAAACAATACGAAAGGCTTTCTATCTGTTAGGTAATCAGAGTGTACTTACCATTGTTAGCTAGCAGGGGGTGCTATTGTACAAGTTTTTGTCATCTTTTTAAACAGTTCAGCTGTGAATTCAGATAAATCTCTGAGAACTAACTCAGATCTGTATATTTCAGATTTCTGTGCATGTTTTGTGCTCTGACATGTTCACTTAAAGTCCGGACTATCTCTATCTTCCCAGGGAGCATCCTATCGGAGACAAAAGCTTTCAGTGCTACATCCGTCAGCAGTCGGAGAACACCACCTACTCCATCTAGCAGCAGCTCTGCATATTTGTTTTCTCCTCTGCCCAGAGCCAGCATTTTTTTTAACCTCTATTGGGATAAAACTCAACTCCAAAACAGCCCAATTTGTTGTGCCGAGTTGAAAATCTGTCTTTTTTTTTCTCTAAATGAGATTTTTTTCAAAGAACAGGTGCATCCAAGCCAAATATTTCTTTAAAGGCACCTCTGAAGCTGTTTTGGCACAACAGTTCCCTGATTTTACTGATCTGTTCAGTTTTAAGGAACGTCCTGCCAGAGCTAAAGAGCTGCGTGGTGTAGGTTGAACTTTCTTCTCCGAGGGTCTCTGAGCGTATTTCTGCAAAATTTGGAGAAACTGACCTCCAAACAGTAGAAAGAAAGAAGCGATGGAAAATTTGAGATATACACCACAATGTCCTGGCGTCCTGTCTGCGATGCAATGAAAGAACAAAGTAAGCATTTTTTCCTTGACACTTTTGATGGTGACCAACACGCACTTTAATGGCCTCCAGATCCATGGATGAACAAACCTCTGCACAATTTCAACATCTGCTTTTATCTCCTTACTTTTTTTTTTCTTTTTCAAGAGAAATTCCTCGCATTTCACCTCTGTTAGACCAAGCCGAAGAAGGAAGAGAGGACTGAATATTTTTTCTGCTTTGGGTGATTTTTGTTCCCTTATGCACTTGTTTTTGATTTCTGTCTTTTTTTTTTTGTTTGTTTGTTGCTGTTCTGTATTGTCTCAGCTCCCCCTGTGAAGCTGTGGGTGTCAAGGGGGCAAAAAGAAGAGATCACTGGGACCAAGATAATCTGAAAGCGGCTCAACATTAGCTGTGCATTCTTACTCCATGCTCCATTAGATCTTTCTTTTAATCTTTTCCGTCAGAACGGTAAACCCGGTTCAGCTCAGATTGGTCCGACGTGTGACCCAAGTATCCGTGTCTTTAGCTACTTACTCAGAGTCTTTGTGTCCTCCAAAATAATCTGACTACATCCCCCCCATAAAACCTTTTTTGATGTGTTTCATTAATTAGCTTGTTTGCTTATTCTCCACAAAGTTACAGGTTTTCAGCAAAGTATGTTGGTTTAGAGGCTAAGATGTTGGTTCAATTGTCTGTATTTAGCAGTTAGAAAAACAAAAAACTTTTAATGACTAACATTTATGTTGTTTTACCTCAGAACTTGGTCTTATTATGGTAATGGACTAAGGAAGTTTTGCTTAAACAAAGTCAAAAAATGCAATAAGAGCCGTTAACAATAGGATTTGGTTTATTTCTGTAGTTCACCAAAACAAATTTTTT